AAATCACTCAGAGGGGGTTCCTGGTGTTAAGTGACAAATATTTAACACGGAGGGGTTTGACAATTATTAATGATCAGGAGACTAAAATTCTGAGTACTATGTCCGGACTCTAACAATGGGAGTGTTGAGTGCACAGACGTAGTGGGAGTTGAGTGGATTCAACCGAAAAGAATTTTGGTGTCCCACCGTCAATTGGTCTGATTGGTGGGGGATTTTGTAGTGGAAGACTGTGAGTCGTCAAACACCAATGGCCGGAGTTTTATGAGGGAAGATTGATCCAACGAAGTGATCAAATCTCGTCTCAGCAAAAGAATGTTTGGAAATCACAGTGGGAGTTTAGTGTTTATCACTTTGTTCGTAATGATCGGGTTATCCCTAAGAAAATTATTTGTTCGTAATGATCGGGTTATCCCTAAGAAAATTACATGTAGCATTCTTTCGGGAACTTCCCGTTACATGAATCATTTATCCCTAAGAAAATTACATGTAGCATTCTTTCGGGAACTTCCCGTTACATGAATCATCCACCCCCAGCCTCCTTCGCGAAACTGGGTCTAACATTATACTGAGTTACATGACCTGGTTATACTTAAGAATATTACGTATAAAAATTTTCCAGGAACTTCCTGTCAAGAGAGGGAAATAGTTTAGACTCGTATACCTATTGGAGTATTAAGAAGCAGTTTATACTCGTATACTTTTCGGAGTGTTCATTCGACTTAATTGAGCGTTATGGCGCCGGCTTCAACCAAGATTTGGATGCTATTCTTAAGAGCGAAGCAGGTCTTGGTAGGATGAAGGATCCTCCTGTGGTACGCACAGTACTTTGGATCTACAGTGTTATCAGCTTCCTCCTGATTTGCGATCGGTGGCAGCTTGATCTTGTTGTTTTCAAGGAGGGACTCGAAGATGGCTGGAACGTCTTCGTCTTTGAAAGAGTACTCTTTTTGGAGTCTCAGATCCGAAGTCTTTTGCTATCTTCGGGGTTGTTGTTGTGACATCTGATTAACGTCGACAATCACTGCAGGTGTCTTGCCCTTACTACGGGAAGGGAAGTTCGAGTTCGGAGGATTGGCCGTCGGTTGGCTCCTCTCGGCGTTCTTCCTTTGGAGGAAGCATTCGGTCTGCTCTCCGTGCATCTTCAACTCTTACCAGGTGTCAGACGGTGCTACTCCCATAACCTCCAACACGTTCAAAGAGAGGTTGTTGTGACAAATTTGGAGGATAAAATCGTCTGTGATCGGATCTCGGCAATTCATCACCTTATTCCGAAAGCGTTTGACGAAGTCATCGACTGTCTCGTCGTCTTCTTGTTTCTCATCGAAGAGTGTTCTGATTGACACCTCGGCATCATCATCAAAAAAGTGAGCGAGAAACAGATTCTCCAGGTCGTCCCAACTATTGATGCTTACAGACTTGAGACGACGGTACCAATCGAAGGCGGGCCCGCGAAGGGTGCCAATGAATGACCGAACCATCAAGGCTTCATTGTCAGAGATCATACCCAAGTGGGACTTGAAATAGATCAGATGTTGAGTGGGTGAACCCTTCCCGTCAAACGGCGTGAAGTTAATCAAGTTGAACTTCGTCGGGTATGCGATCGAATCCCACTCTCTCGGATAAGGACACAGAATGCTGGTCTTCATTACCCCTCGAGCGGACATTAGAGTGTTAATTTTGCTCTCGAGGTCTTTCATCTTCTCGTCCTCATCTGTATCATGCTTCAGACGATTTGTGAGAGGAACAACGGGGCCACCCCTAGTGTTGTCATCATTGGCGGGACCACCCCCGGTGTTATTGTCTTCAGTAGGGCCACCCCCAGTGTTCTGGTCAACGGGAGGGTTCTCAGCATTGAGACGTTCATCCCCATCTGAATCACTACCTGCTTGGTCAGCATGGTTGCGATGGCTGGATTCACCGAACTGATTGGACAGAGCCCGAATTTGTTGGTCATGCTCTTCCTTCATCCGTAGCATAGCCATTTCTATTTCAATCTTGAATGCTTCTTTCTACTTGGTTAGAGCATCCTCAAGAATTTTAACGATTTGCTCGGTATTGATCATGAATGCCTCATGGGATTGTCCTGGGCTGGACACCGTTTTGTCAGAAGCAACTACAGAATTAGCATCTGATGCTTCATCATCCGAGGATAATTCCCTCTGCATTCGCTGATAATCTCTTTATCTAATGGTTCCCAATCGCAACCGGGTTAGACGATGAGATATTAGTGGATCAGAACTAGAAGGTTGAATCGACTTTCCCTTATCAGCCATATTTATTGTGACCTCCAGGAGTTCGTCACCTTGAACGGCCGATTGTTTCTTACGAAAACGTTTTGGCTTGGACTTAGTCGCTCCGTTGGAGATCCTCTCGAATACCGAGACCCTCTGCGAAGTGATCTTGGGGCAGCTACATTCTGATAATATTATCCTGATAATCTTGATACACGGACAATGAAAGTCCATCTTCTGGGAATCTCTCTTTCGAGATCTGTTCGTACCTCCAGCCCGATAGTACAACTCATCGGCATGATGACCGAAGAAATCCATCGCGTGTTGGCACGATTTCTCAGGTATAACGTCGTCGTCTGACGAACACGTTTCCTTCTGAGGACTTGTTGACTTGTTGTCTTGATCGCGTGTTGGCACGATTTCTCAGGTATGATCCACTAACTAGTCTTAAGTTGGGCTCTAGAGTCACACCAAGCGTGTACTTGAATCCTATGAAATACAGTTTATAGAGTTAAATACGTATGATTGATACACATATATGATTTTTATCGGATACACATAAACGGTTATATGTATCGGTAAAATCAGAATGCTATGTGCTTAAGAAATGAATTCCAGTATTTTTCCCATAAAGATTAGGGGTTTTTGTCTTTATGCCCATTTGTTTACCTAGCTTTATCTTTAAACTCACCCATTATTAGTTGTATCTTTAAGCCCAATTCACTTTTGGTATTTGTCTTTAAACCCAATTCTAAAATACAATACTTTTACTACTTGTATTTATACAGAATAAATATAAAAACCCCAAAATACCCCTTTGATTGGCCCCATAAAACCCAGTATCTCTCTCTCATCTTCCTCATTTCACCTCAGCCCTAAATTGAAAAAACGAGATCTCCTTTTCGTCGTTGCCCGTCTCCAGTCTTCGATGCCCCGCTCCAGCCACCGCCCGTCTC